ATTGAAACTTTTCTGAACTGAAGATAAAATTAATGTGTATATTATATTAATTAAGGTCTATTTTATTAAATATTATATTTTGATCTATTGTAATTAGGGTAGCCAACTATCTAAGATTGACTGGGACAGATCTGAGATTCAATTTTCTGTCTTATCTGGATTGTAGAATGTCCCAGAAATTTTTAATAAAAGTCATCAGTTATATGATATAACTGATGCATTGCTCCCTATGCACTTAAAACACTACTACTCTATCTTAACTGCTATTGAAATGAGATCAATTTCAAATTATCTGAAATTTTCTTGCATATAAGCTTAATTGATGTTGACATTGATTTTAAAATAATCAATTTCATTTCAGGGAGCCAAATATTTAATTTAAAAAGAAGAAACGATTTTTGTCCTAAAGGACAAAAATCGTTTCTTCATCTTCCTAAATGAATATATTATTCCTAATTTTATGAATATGAATATATATTTCCTCTATGAATATATTATTCCTAATTTTGTCCTAAAGGACAAAAATCGTTTCTTCTTTTTAAATTAAATATTTGGCTCCCTGAAATGAAATTGATTATTTTAAAATCAATGTCAACATCAATTAAGCTTATATGCAAGAAAATTTCAGATAATTTGAAATTGATCTCATTTCAATAGCAGTTAAGATAGAGTAGTAGTGTTTTAAGTGCATAGGGAGCAATGCATCAGTTATATCATATAACTGATGACTTTTATTAAAAATTTCTGGGACATTCTACAATCCAGATAAGACAGAAAATTGAATCTCAGATCTGTCCCAGTCAATCTTAGATAGTTGGCTACCCTAATTACAATAGATCAAAATATAATATTTAATAAAATAGACCTTAATTAATATAATATACACATTAATTTTATCTTCAGTTCAGAAAAGTTTCAATTGGTTGATAAGATTTTGTAAGATTTAGTCACATCATTTCTGAGAATAAATCTGACAAATAATGTATTATTTCCTTTAAATCATTTTAAAATTCTAATATATCTATTTTCTCTTTATTAAAAAGATAATCTAAATTAAGAACACAAGGTCTGAAGTAAAAGTTTCTAAACCAATGATATAAAAACTTAAATTAAATGAAAATATCTTAAAATACTTTTGAAAATTTTCCCCTAGAGTTACTTCTTGATATAATGATATTAGTAAACAATTTTTGAAATAGAATTATTCAAAAAAATTATTTTCTTTTGAATATCTTAAACTGATAAGATGTTATCGTCATAAGAAGTTTTGATCTTTGAGAAAAGAAAGAGTTTAAAATGCTAGTATCTGGAATTTTTCAAAAAAATCATTCACTAATAAAATATTGTTGGAACTTCATTTATAATGCAGCTACACACAATACTCTTTTGGTGAAACAAATATTAAGTAGATTATATACGAAATAGCTTCAATAAAAAAACAGCAAAACTAGAATAAGTCTGATATTGCAACAGAATGATTTACTAGAAAATGAAAACTGCTTTATATACATTTTTAAAAATATAGAACTGAAGATTAATTTTAATGCTATGATTAAAAACGATTGTTGATGGAAATCTTAATTTAAAATTTTCTATCTGATTATATTTTGTGATGCTACTGAAATTTTTTATAACCTATAAAAACAACACAAACAAAAATGTTAATAATTTTTTCATGTTATTTTGCAAAACTTTTCATTCCTAATCACATCCATTTGTTTTTATGCAGAAAATTCATAATAAATTATCTGTATTTCTTTTGTTTATATCATAACTTCATAGTATTAACAGTGCTTTCTACATTCTCAATTTGTAACAGCTTACTAAAAATTAAGATAAGATATATAAGATATTAATATTAATATGAATAATAATAATGAATTTCCAACAGAATAGTCATTACACTATATCCCTAAAAAAACTGAAAAATGTGCTCCCAATTTGCAAATTTACTTTTTTTTAAATTTGATTTCTATATTACCATTTACAAGCAGAAAAAATACTAATAGAATGAAAAATATTTTGTGATTGAGATTTTAGAATCAATAGGATAAAAAATATTCTTTAAATTAGAATTAATTTTATATTTTTAAACCCAAAGTACTAATAGCATACAATTTATGCAATAAATTTGATACAATGTTAGAATTCAAAATCCACAACTATTATTGCTAGATATAAATTTACAAACTACAGTATATCTATTATATTTTAAAATTTACCTTTGTTAAAAATTCAAGAACTTCTTCTGCCTGAAGTATTCCCAACAGTGGACGTCTAAGAACCATCAAGAGAGCAGCTCCAACAAATGCTAATACTTTACAGCAGCCAGCAATAATTTTATCCCATATCCTAATTGAAAGTATCAATTCAATTTTGAAACAACTGAATATTAAATTTTTAAAATCAAATTATAATTATTTATCTCAAAACTTGACTGTAAATTTTAAGATATAATACTACACTTAAAACTTAAAAAAGATTAAAACTATTATATCTTAATATACTATTTTCTCTTTTTTCTAATTTAAGTTAAAATGTTTTAAATGGAGTAAAAAAAAAATTTTAAAGTTTAACTGTCATTCGCATCATCAGGATCCTTAGCAGAGAGGGGAGGAAATTATTAAGTGTTATTACGGTAAAATGACAATCATTTTGAGAAAGATAGAAGAATAATTTCAAACTATAAAATTATAAGAAAAAAAGAGTTAATATAAAATCAAATAGTAATATAATTTTAATTTTAGATAAAATTAAATCTATGAAAACAAAACGGACATATCATTATTGTACAAAGTTAACCAGTCATCTTCTGTTTTCCAATTTTTACTCCATTTTAGAAATTTTAACTTGTATTAACTTTTCTTTTGTATTAACGTTTTTAATAATTTCTGTTACAGGCATACCCCAGGTTATGTACATAATACAATCCATCAAATAGTAGTTGACACCACTGTTAACCTTTACTTCTGGTAAGAAATAATACACAAATGAACAAATGTTTTTGACCTTAATCAAGATCTGGATCATTTGTGTTCCAATTATGAGATGCAAAGATTCAAATGTATTTAAATACAAATTGTTTTAACAAGTTTGGAATTACAAACTAAGATTCAAACTGAAATGATACATTGAATATACATATATATGTTATGGACTAAGTGATAAATATGGGCATTATGAATAATGACAAACAAAATCGGGCACTGTAATAAATTTCAGGTGTTTTAACATAATTTATCAAATTAACCAGTCATTATGAATACTGCTATCACTTAGTCGAGCAAAGTGATGATAATACATTGAGGAGTGATCATCCAACATATGCTAACCAATCAGTACTCGCATCTGAGTTGCGCATGTGTATTGCACTTAATACCAAATTTTAAATTTATGCAACCAGTAGTTAATCTTGTGTGACATTTTAATTTTACTTTTGTCTCTTAAAATAGTGTTTTCTTCTTTAACAAAAGTAACGATAGAACAATAGTAACCCCGTATTCACCAACGCAAGTTAGAGTTAGAGTTAGGGTTTACTCTCGAGTTATTGGTAAATTGGTATTCACCAACTCCGAATCTCGAGTCAAACACAATAACCCTAACTCTAACTCTAGAAAATCGGCGAGTAGACGATAACTCTAGGTTTCATGCTTGCGCAAAGCGATCTATTTCAAAGAAAAATGGCAACATTCGACTAGGACGAAGCCAAGATGCTAGAAAATCTGAAATATCTAGATTATATAGATCGTATGGAACGAAGAAGTCGGCGGATTATTTCTCCAAGAAGAAATGACCTCGAACAATTGGATGATTACGACTTTTTATGTAGATATCGTTTGCCAAAAGAGAGTGTAAGAAACATACTAAGACGAATTGGTCACAATTTAGTTTCTACATCGTCAAAAAATTATCTGATGTCGCCGATGAAATAACTGTTGTTGGTTCTACGTTTTTATGCCACGGGAACATTTCAGTTTGGCAAGCACTATTTTCCATTTCACTTTATGCCATTTTCTACACATGTTTGCTTTCAATCAATCAAGATTCTGCTTACGAAAAAAGATTTGTTTAATCCCAAACGCAGGATTGTTTTAAAACATTAACTCTAGAGTAGCGAAACTCTAGAGTTATACTTTTATCTGAATACGGAAGAAGAGTAACTCGTAATCTGATTTCGAGTTACATCTAAACTCGAGTTCGTCAACTCTCTGTTTAACTCGTGTTGGTGAATACGGGGGTAAGTGATATGAATAATTGCTTTAACAACTGATTAAACGAGTTAATAGCAGATCAAAACAATCAAATTTTTACAAAATCAGCATATTTGTCAATGATACAAAAAGTGAAAGTGTCAAAAATGAAAGTTACTTCTAAGTTACCGGAAGAATATCAACGTTTACATAGATATGACATTGTATCTACCAGAAATTTAGAAAAATTAATTATGCCTGTAAAAGAAGGTAATGTGATTAAATATTATGTTCACACTGAAGAAATATTTCAGATATTGCATGATGCCCATATTGCTATTGGACATGACGGTAGAAACTGTATGGAAAAAGAATTAAGTATGAAATATAAAAATATTACAAGGGATCATAATTTATTTTAACTTATGTGAAATCTGTCAGAAAAAAACTGAATGTTCCTAAGAAAAACTCGGTAGTTAAACCAATTTTATGTAATGAAATGAACTCGAGATGTCAGGTTGATCTTATAGATATGCAGTCGTAAGCCGATGAGCAATATAAATTTATACTTGTGTATCAAGACCATCTAACTAAATTCGTTCAACCACGACTGTTAAAACCAAAGGGCTGAAGATATAGCATATGTTCTTTTAGACATTTTTACAATTTTCAGTGCACCGAGTATTCTACAAAGCTATAACGGCAGAGAATTTGCCAATAATGTCATCAAAGAAATGTGTAATATGTGGCCTGAATTAAAAATGGTGCATGGAGAGCCCAAACACTCACAAAGTCAGGGTTCAGTAGAAAGATGTAATCAAGACGTAGAAAATATGCTTAGTTCTTATATGGAGACTAACAATACTAACAAATGGTCGGAAGGATTACATTTTGTACAACTTAAGAAAAATCGAGCACATCATACTGGTATAAACTGTAGTCCTATGAGGCCAAGTTTGGAGCAAAGTTAAAAGTTGAACTAAAGAATTTTATACATAAATCTTTGACCAACATTAATACAAAGAAGGATCTAGAAAGACTTTTTAAAACTATTAACGAAGTAAGTCAAAGTTGCTCAAACTCTGAAAGATCAAGTACCATCCAAAAATTTGATTGTTCTGACCTTTTCTGCTATTAACTTGTTTAATCAGTTGTTGAAGCGATTATTCATATTACTTAATGATTGCTCCATGATCGTTACTTTTGTTAAAGAAGAAAACACTATTTTAAAAGACAAAAGTAAAATTAAAAATGTTGCACAAGATTAACCACTGGTTGTATAAATTTAAAATTCGGTACTAAACGCAATATTTTTGTTTGTAAATTGTATTTTTAAATAACCCAGGTTATGACCATCTCATGATAAAACAAACTGCATATACGACCATCATATATTTCTACCCCTACCATGGTCCAACTTAGCTATCCCCACCAATATGGCATTTTGTCTGTTCTAAGTGTTGCCTTCTGTACAATTTTTTTGTTGTGTCTGGATGTCCAGGCAAAGACCAAAACTGTCTGGATTTTAAGAAATTTGGTAAATCGTCAATAATTATTTTTTAATGATATAGCTGATTTTATAACTGAAGAACAAAGTCTGATAATTTAATTAGCAAGTCATTTATAATAACATTCCTGATATTAGGGTTCCACACACAACTCAGATGCAAGTGCTGATAGGCTAGCGTGTGTTGGATGATCACTCCTTAATATATTATCATCACTTTGCCTGACTAGGTGGTAGCAGTATTCATAATGACTGGTCAATTTGATAAATTAATCAATATTTATCAGACTGCGTACCCATTTTAGTCATTATTCATAATCACTTGGTTCATAACACATACACAGAAGCCCACCAATATGTGTGTATTAATGGGAGATCACATCAGCATGGAAATAATATGCAATAACTAATGGCTATGGTGGCCATGCTCCTCACGTGTATCACCAGGCATGTGATATCAAGTTACTGTCTTTGAAATTAAAGCTAGCAAGACAGTGGAATGTATTTATTTCAAGGACGGTAACTTGATATCACACACCTGGTGATATGCATTTGAGGAGCATGGCCGCCATAGCCATTAATCATTGCATATTATTCCCCTGCTGATGTGGTCCCCCATTAATACAGTACACACTAGGGTTTCTCATTTCCCGAGAAATTTGCCTCCAGCGGGATTACGGGAAAAATAATTTCTTTTTCCAGGATCCCGGGAAATTCCGGGATGAGATAGTAAAATAGAATTTTATATGAATAAAAAAGATCATACAGGAATATCATAAATTTGAATAATTTAATTTATTTTCTAGTAAGTAACTAAATTGTTGGGCCAATCTCACCCATACGGACACGTTAGGCTCAATTAATTTATTGATTCTGATGAAACCGTGTTGTTGTTATTAAGCTGTTTCTTTGCAGACACACTAAGGTGACATATATCAACACTATTAAGCTGTTTCTTTGCAGACACACTAAGGTGACATATATCAACACTTGGCAACTTATTGACTATTTATTCAGTTGGGACGCCTTTTACATAATAACGAAACGTGTAATGTAAAAGGCGTCCCAACTGAATAAATAGTCAATAAGTTGCCAAGTGTTGATATATGTCACCTTAGTGTGTCTGCAAAGAAACAGATCAATTAATTTATGTTCTCCTACATTATAAAATGAAAGTAAAATAAAGCGTTTCATTGGGAGTTTTAATGATTACAAAAAAAAAAATACTATTTTACTTCTAAAGATGAAATAAAAAATAAACTAAAGTGCAATGAGTGATATTTACTTTCAGCAAGTCTCCACTGTTCAATGATGCGCAAACACAATACATAGATATTACATGAACTAACAAGTAGAGACTTGTAAAACATAGGTAATAATATGCAGCAAAAAACCTCAAAATTTCTCTCTTAGGTGAGTCTTCAAGATGAAACTTTTCGTATAATAAATAATAGAAAGAAAACCTGACATGGTAAATTATTATTGAAATGCGAGATTTTCCGGGATTTTTCTCGTAGGGAATAAACGGCGAGAATCCCGGGAAAGAAACCCTAGTACCCACGTATTGGTGGGTTTTTTATGTGTATGTATATTTAATGTATCGTTTCAGTTTGAATCTTAGTTTGTAATTCCAAACTTGTTAAAACAATTTGTATTTAAATACGTCTGAATCTTTGCATTCCATAATTGGAACACAAGTGATCCAAAACCTGAGGCAGATCTTGATTAAGATCGAAAATGTTTGTTCATTTGTGTATTATTTCTTACTGGAAGTAAAAGTTTAACAGTGGTGTTTACACATACTGGTAATTGAGATAGTAGTTGTATTGTGAATTGCCATTTTCCATACTATTTTTTATTTAAAGAAAGTTTCACCTCATGGTAAGTTTTAGAGCAATGACCAATATGATTTCACACCCCAGTATTCCATGGAGGATGCCCTTGTTAAATTGTGTGATACTCTACAGCCAGGAAAGAAGAAGAGATTGATATCTGTTAATATTTCTAGATATCAAAAGTGCATTTGACAATGCATGGTGACTCTCAATTTTGATACTTATCAGAGATACCAAAGTACCATAAAATAATTTATACTTTTTCAAGGATTTCTTAGAAGACAGAAAGCTGAGCTTAAATTGGAGTTTGTTAAACCTGCTCCCTAAATAAAGGCTGTCCTTAAGGGTCTGTCCTTAAGGGTCTGATTTGCCAAATTTCTTAAAATCCAGACAGTTTTGGTCTTTGTCTGGACATCCAAACACACAACACAAAAATTGTACAGGAGGCAACACTTACTAAAATAGAATTTACAAACAAAAATTTGTAAATTCTATTTTAAAACTGTTTTAAAATTAAATTTAAAAAATAATTTGTAATTTTACAAATAATGCAAATAATAATCTTTGAATAGGAGGGGAAAAATCTTGGGATTTTACTTTTATAACTCAACATCAATTTACTATGTTTAATTAGATTTTGTTCCAGGTACTGTACAACAATCATATTTAAAATTTCTAAATCAGATGGGAGTCCTGTACTATTTTGTATTGTATTGTATATGTGAGTCCTGACTAGGGTTCACATATACAATACTAGGAATTAGTTTCATTAAACACTCCCACTTCTTGGTTGATGTATATTATAATCTATGTGCAACTTTTTTAGTACAATCAACAATTACATTCCTTAAAAAAATTAACTAAAATTGTTAAAATGAAAATGTATATAATGTTACGTAAACGATTCTTTCATATAGTCCCACAACTAGTGACTTTACCATATCTTTTTCCAATTATCTGTAACTATATTATTAATTGAAATAATGTAAAAATTTTATGTAGAAGAAAAAAAATCTATATTTAAGAAGATTTAAAGAACGTATCATGATAACTCATTGTAAAAACAGTATTAATTTAAATAATGGAATGGAAATTGATGATATATGGTATGATGTCATAAACTATAAAAGGTGTTGTAAATGCAAAACAGGATAGTGAGATACAATCGCTTGTTTCACTTGATTTGTGTATCCTGAGGTTTCTTTCATATCTTTATAAAAGTGTGAAATTTGTTAAAGATATTAATGTATACGTAACTTTTTAAAATTTGTAGCCTGAGGAAGAATTGATAATTTCTTTATTTTCAATGTAAAATGTATTTCTAAACAAAGATAATAAAAAAGTTGATTAGAGGGTCTCTGCTCAATACAGACAGTTGGAAAGAGACATGACAAAGTCACTAGTCATGGGATTACACAAAAGAATCCTTTACATAACAATTACATCAATAGTAATTATTTTATTTACCACTTATTTACATTAAATAAGTATGGCAGTCATTCATGCTAAGAACCATATTGGTCACAGTTCTATCTTGAATTCATCTCAACCTAAAGTAGCTCTTCTAACATTAAATGAACTACAAATATTATCCATATTAAAATATTTCTCTAATTTCTTTATTCAGAGTTTATTTTTGCATTTATTATTATTTACTTATAGTCTGTTTTAATAAAAGACAAACTTTTCAAAATCTTTTATGATTCTTAGGCTGTGCTCATACAACCTATGACAACCACCATAGATTCCAAATGATAACAACAGCATGTCTTTTATTATATTCATTCATTGCCAAAGTGTTCATATTGTTCATTAGTTTTTGTCTTAGAGCATGCACAATTTAAATTAGACTTAGTGTTATTCCATGACTTTCTGTGCTTTTAGACCAGACTCATCTGTTTTAAAAATTGAATATGCAGAGTAAGATGTTAATTCTTTGACGACAACAGCAGAATTTATTACTTTTGTTAAGGAAAATACATAAATGTCAATGGTAAATTGTAGCCGGTCACATTGAGAGAAAACGCATGGCAATTTCCATGCTTTGGTCCAGGAATTATAATTAAAAGACATCAAAGGTTTTAAATTATTCTCCTGAAAATATTTTTATTTTAATAAATACATTGCTTGGGTTACAAATGTGATTTTTGAGCTGATTTAATGGTGATTATATATGAGAGCAAACTGAAAAATTTAGTTACTTTGAGGTTAATCTAGTTAAAAATGATCATTTTCAGTAAAACCAGTAGATGGCAGTTTAAGTAACCTCCTGTCCTCAATCTGGCATGCTCCAGCTGAGAATGAATTAAAATAGTGACGAGTCAGAATGTTTGCTTCAAGCAGCAAGCTGTTATTGAATTTCTTACAGCAGAAATTGTTACATAATTGACATTTATCAAAGATTGGAAACTATATAGAGACCACTATCAACAAGAGGGCTGAAAAACATTGAGTGTTATGATTTAAAGGCAAAGAAATAGGAAAAGGTAATTTGGCTGACAAACTATAGTCAGGATGACCTGTAACTCCAACAAATGAGTTCAACAAAAGTAAGTGGAAGAAAGAAATGATCTGTAAAAATTATTGCATTAAATAAAAAAAATTGCCTCTGAATTAAACACTTCTAAAGGAAAAATAGGCCACAATCATTATTCTTGAATTTTGTAAAGTTTGCTCCAGTTGGATCCCAGGCATGTTTTCAGATGAGATAAAGACTGACAGTCTGAATTTCACAAAAATTCTTAAAAAGTATTGAAGTTGAAAGTGAAGCATTTTGATTGGAAGTGGAATGTATATCCACACACTATGACCCAGAAAGCAAAAGGTAGTCTATCACAGCCAAAAAAGTTCAAACACAACCTTTAACAGAAAAATATTATGTTTACTGTATTTTAGAATATTCAAGAGATTGTGTTCGCAATTGTTTTGATAAAAGGGACCATAATCAATTCTGAACATTATACTGAAATACTAAAAAAGACCAAAAGTTGTATCAAGAAGGAAGTTCCAGGAACTTTTCTTCAGGACAGCCCAATTGGACTCTTCTTCAGCATGATACTGCTAGGCTACATGTTAGCAGAACTGCTGCTGTTGTCATTCATTACATTGGGTTTTCCTTGCTCCTGAAACTTCTGTACAGCCCAGGTATCATTTAAGGTAACTTCCAGTTCTTTTTAAAGATGAGAGTACATGTGAAAAAAATCATTTCAAATCTGATGACCAGTGCACCAATGGATTCAATAACAAACTCCTGAGTTTTATAGTGACGGACTCTAAAAACTTGTGACATACTGGCAGCAGTGTATTGCAGAAAAAATTATGTTAAAATTAATTATGAGATTTGTAATAGCTACAGTTCCTTTTTATGTCATTAATTTATGCCAACCTGTTGCCATTCTATTAAGGGGAAGTATCCAAGACTGTGTTTACAATATATGCATACGTAAAAGGATTTTAATAGTTAAATAAAAATATAACTGAAATTTTATTTTAAATAAACTTACCTTTCCAAAGCACTTTCTGAAAGAATTTCAGCAAAACATCTACCAAACCATATTTTGGTTGGTAATTTATGTAAAACCTTGAGATTTTCTAAGTGTGAATATAATTCTGGGTCATTTTTCTTTAAAACAGCTTCCATACGTTCTGTCTATGACAATAAACTGAAAATTAATAAGTTTAACAATAGATCATTTTTTAAATTTAAGTTTGAAAATTTAATTACTTTACACTAATGAAATGTGCTTTGTAATCTTAAGTATTTAGTTCTTAAGCAATAAAAATTATTTTCACTAATTTAATCTGCATCTACATTCTAATTATTATATGCAAGTATAAAGAAACCAGAAATTTCTCCATCAAGCATAATGGAATACTTTTAATGAGAAAGGAGAGATTGAAGCTAATAGACTCATTAGATTGTTACTTCCGATTGAATAATAGAACATCACATGGTCACAATGGAAAGATTTTGAAAAAAATTGATTATAAAGTGACCCAATGTGGCCATCATTTTTTAAAGTTTAAATTTAATGAAGTAAGTTTAGAATATGCCATTTGTCAAAATATTTAAAAATGCAACTTAAGGAAAATTCCATCATCAAGCATAAACTAAATGAGTTCACTGATGTCACTGCAATGTAAGTGCGATCACCTATCTGAAATTGATAAAATGTTTATTCTACAGCTAATATTTCTGCAAAATAAGTAACCTATATTTTCTATCAGAACATAAGACGAATATAACTAAAATTTCATCTGGAGTGGACAAAAATTGAGAGTTATAAGGAATTCACACACATGATGGCTTTCATATTAGTAATAACCTCAGAAAGAATTTATATCAAATTCGTCATAAAGATGTACTTATTCAAATTCTTGTTTATAAGTCACATTCTACTTTTATTGTTCAAAAGTTTTGTGGCAAAATTAATAAATTATTACAAATTATTTAGTGATATTTTTATTAATTTCATGTATTAATTTCAAATTTTTCCAGTTTTAATTATTTAACTTTTAAACTTGTATTATATTCAAGTTTATAAACTTTTTAAATATGAATATAATTTAATTCTGCATCAATTTTCTTTAAAACGGTTTCCATACATTCTGCCTTGAATATAGTAAAAAAATAAAACTGTCTAAAATTTTATTTAAAATATTTTTCATATAAATAAATAATCTAAAATGCCTGATTTGTTGATGTATCTAGATCAGAAGTGGGCAACCCACAGCCTGCATTAATATTTTGTGCAGTCCGTGTCACACAAAATATTAATAAATATATCGACTTCCCAACTTAAGAAAGTATGCAATAAAAATTCTATTGTTATTTTCTACACCTTCGTAAAAATGTAGTAAAAGGTAAAACAAGAAATTAGCTAATAGACTCACATCAAAGCTAATTTAAAACTTCCAGTGACTAATATTCAATGAAACATTCCAGATTTATTACATTCATGTCAGTGACAGAAGTCAAATTAATTATATTTATGTTAATTTATACTCATATGTGAATAAATAATTGTGATTTACCACATTTTTTTTCTTTTTTCTTGTGTGTAGCCCAAGTCAATTCAAAAGTTTTAAATGTGGCCCATACATAGAAAAAGATTGCCATCCCTAATCTAGATCAGAAAATTGTGAATGTAATTTCTAATCTCAAACTTCTCAAACTTGTAAAACTTGCATGAATCTAAGTTATACTGTATCAAATGTCTTTTGTGAGATTACATATTCTACTGTTATAAATATTTGATAATATTTTATATTGAAATTTTCAAATTTTGTATTAACTGTAAATGTATACATTCAATGAATAGAAAATATTTTAAAGTCTTTTTTGTTTAATTTATTTGAAAATTTTTCTAATAATCTCTAACTACTTTGTTAATTTATGCAAAATATATTAGTTCAATATACTATTTCAATAAATTGATTAATATGATCTTTCATTTAGATACTAAAATTAAGCTTCAAAATCAACTAAAGATGCTAATAAAGTATCTAAGCAGAACTGCTTTTTTCAAATAAAGTTTAATATAATATCATAGTTAATGTAAATTAATTTATTGATAGAGTACAGTGGTTAACTCAAATCAGTTAGGGGAGAAAAAAAAATTCAGATTTTGAGTTAAAAGTTTTTAGTTATAGAGGATTAGCTAAAAATCAAGATTTTTGCATCAGTTTATCAGTGACTCATAATAAACCATCCACACAGTATTTTCACTGGTCTTATTACATAGAATCATTGTGTCAACATAAAGCTCTCAGTGTTGTACAAAAACTCAAAAATGCTTAACTGAATGGTTAAATAAGCTACCATCCAGAAAATGCTTTCCCAAATGGTTGATCTGTTCATTCCTAAGTAGGAATTTTTTTAAATTGTGATATTTTTCACCTAGAATCAATCTATTTTTTTTTATCACAAACATACAACTCTTTATGATTGTTTTATTTTTAAATTTTTACACAATCAGACGATAATCATTTTTAAAAATTAATTTATCAAAAAATGAATTTATTTATTACATCAGCTAAGTTAATCAGAGAAATTCATCAGCAATAAAATAAAAAACTTAAAAAACAAGAAAAGTTTGAAAAAAAACAAGTTTGAATGGCAGTTATAGTATCTAGGTCAAACACACTCTCTGGAAGCAACCATTCCATCTGCCAAAACACAATGTTTTGTTTTTAGTTGTAAGTGATCCCAATGCTTTATAGAAAGTTTCTGATTAGTTTATTCAATAATTGACATTAATTATTTTATTTAATGAAAAACTAGAATTCTGGAGAGTTTATGAAAATACAATATCAAAATCCCATTCGAGTTAACCAGTTTGAATTTAAATGTAAATTCCTATATTAGACATCAGAAAATGAAAATGACTTTGAGTTATCCCAGTTCAAGTAACCATGTTCCAGTATATATTAAAGTGAATCTCCACAACACAAATGGAAAAACTACTTCAGTGTTTTTTAAAGATAATTATTTTTCAGATCTTCAGAATTATGTCATTGTATGAGATTATATTNGGACAAAAATCGTTTCTTCATCTTCCTAAATGAATATATTATTCCTAATTTTATGAATATGAATATATATTTCCTCTATGAATATATTATTCCTAATTTTGTCCTAAAGGACAAAAATCGTTTCTTCTTTTTAAATTAAATATTTGGCTCCCTGAAATGAAATTGATTATTTTAAAATCAATGTCAACATCAATTAAGCTTATATGCAAGAAAATTTCAGATAATTTGAAATTGATCTCATTTCAATAGCAGTTAAGATAGAGTAGTAGTGTTTTAAGTGCATAGGGAGCAATGCATCAGTTATATCATATAACTGATGACTTTTATTAAAAATTTCTGGGACATTCTACAATCCAGATAAGACAGAAAATTGAATCTCAGATCTGTCCCAGTCAATCTTAGATAGTTGGCTACCCTAATTACAATAGATCAAAATATAATATTTAATAAAATAGACCTTAATTAATATAATATACACATTAATTTTATCTTCAGTTCAGAAAAGTTTCAATTGGTTGATAAGATTTTGTAAGATTTAGTCACATCATTTCTGAGAATAAATCTGACAAATAATGTATTATTTCCTTTAAATCATTTTAAAATTCTAATATATCTATTTTCTCTTTATTAAAAAGATAATCTAAATTAAGAACACAAGGTCTGAAGTAAAAGTTTCTAAACCAATGATATAAAAACTTAAATTAAATGAAAATATCTTAAAATACTTTTGAAAATTTTCCCCTAGAGTTACTTCTTGATATAATGATATTAGTAAACAATTTTTGAAATAGAATTATTCAAAAAAGTTATTTTCTTTTGAATATCTTAAACTGATAAGATGTTATCGTCATAAGAAGTTTTGATCTTTGAGAAAAGAAAGAGTTTAAAATGCTAGTATCTGGAATTTTTCAAAAAAATCATTCACTAATAAAATATTGTTGGAACTTCATTTATAATGCAGCTACACACAATACTCTTTTGGTGAAACAAATATTAAGTAGATTATATACGAAATAGCTTCAATAAAAAAACAGCAAAACTAGAATAAGTCTGATATTGCAACAGAATGATTTACTAGAAAATGAAAACTGCTTTATATACATTTTTAAAAATATAGAACTAAAGATTAATTTTAATGCTATGATTAAAAACGATTGTTGATGGAAATCTTAATTTAAAATTTTCTATCTGATTATATTTTGTGATGCTACNTAATAAATACATTGCTTGGGTTACAAATGTGATTTTTGAGCTGATTTAATGGTGATTATATATGAGAGCAAACTGAAAAATTTAGTTACTTTGAGGTTAATCTAGTTAAAAATGATCATTTTCAGTAAAACCAGTAGATGGCAGTTTAAGTAACCTCCTGTCCTCAATCTGGCATGCTCCAGCTGAGAATGAATTAAAATAGTGACGAGTCAGAATGTTTGCTTCAAGCAGCAAGCTGTTATTGAATTTCTTACAGCAGAAATTGTTACATAATTGACATTTATCAAAGATTGGAAACTATATAGAGACCACTATCAACAAGAGGGCTGAAAAACATTGAGTGTTATGATTTAAAGGCAAAGAAATAGGAAAAGGTAATTTGGCTGACAAACTATAGTCAAGATGACCTGTAACTCCAACAAATGAGTTCAACAAAAGTAAGTGGAAGAAAGAAATGATCTGTAAAAATTATTGCATTAAATAAAAAAAATTGCCTCTGAATTAAACACTTCTAAAGGAAAAATAGGCCACAATCATTATTCTTGAATTTTGTAAAGTTTGCTCCAGTTGGATCCCAGGCATGTTTTCAGATGAGATAAAGACTGACAGTCTGAATTTCACAAAAATTCTTAAAAAGTATTGAAGTTGAAAGTGAAGCGTTTTGATTGGAAGTGGAATGTATATCCACACACTATGACCCAGAAAGCAAAAGGTAGTCTATCACAGCCAAAAAAGTTCAAACACAACCTTTAACAGAAAAATATTATGTTTACTGTATTTTAGAATATTCAAGAGATTGTGTTCGCAATTGTTTTGATAAAAGGGACCATAATCAATTCTGAACATTATACTGAAATACTAAAAAAGACCAAAAGTTGTATCAAGAAGGAAGTTCCAGGAACTTTTCTTCAGGACAGCCCAATTGGACTCTTCTTCAGCATGATACTGCTAGGCTACATGTTAGCAGAACTGCTGCTGTTGTCATTGATTACATTGGGTTTTCCTTGCTCCTGAAACTTCTGTACAGCCCAGGTATCATTTAAGGTAACTTCCAGTTCTTTTTAAAGATGAGAGTACATGTGAAAAAAATCATTTCAAATCTGATGACCAGTGCACCAATGGATTCAATAACAAACTCCTGAGTTTTATAGTGACGGACTCTAAAAACTTGTGACATACTGGCAGCAGTGTATTGCAGAAAAAATTATGTTAAAATTAATTATGAGATTTGTAATAGCTACAGTTCCTTTTTATGTCATTAATTTATGCCAACCTGTTGCCATTCTATTAAGGGGAAGTATACAAGACTGTGTTTACAATATATGCATACGTAAAAGGATTTTAATAGTTAAATAAAAATATAACTGAAATTTTATTTTAAATAAACTTACCTTTCCAAAGCACTTTCTGAAAGAATTTCAGCAAAACATCTACCAAACCATATTTTGGTTGGTAATTTATGTAAAACCTTGAGATTTTCTAAGTGTGAATATAATTCTGGGTCATTTTTCTTTAAAACAGCTTCCATACGTTCTGTCTATGACAATAAACTGAAAATTAATAAGTTTAACAATAGATCATTTTTTAAATTTAAGTTTGAAAATTTAATTACTTTACACTAATGAAATGTGCTTTGTAATCTTAAGTATTTAGTTCTTAAGCAATAAAAATTATTTTCACTAATTTAATCTGCATCTACATTCTAATTATTATATGCAAGTATAAAGAAACCAGAAATTTCTCCATCAAGCATAATGGAATACTTTTAATGAGAAAGGAGAGATTGAAGCTAATAGACTCATTAGATTGTTACTTCCGATTGAATAATAGAACATCACATGGTCACAATGGAAAGATTTTGAAAAAAATTGATTATAAAGTGACCCAATGTGGCCATCATTTTTTAAAGTTTAAATTTAATGAAGTAAGTTTAGAATATGCCATTTGTCAAAATATTTAAAAATGCAACTTAAGGAAAATTCCATCATCAAGCATAAACTAAATGAGTTCACTGATGTCACTGCAATGTAAGTGCGATCACCTATCTGAAATTGATAAAATGTTTATTCTACAGCTAATATTTCTGCAAAATAAGTAACCTATATTTTCTATCAGAACATAAGACGAATATAACTAAAATTTCATCTGGAGTGGACAAAAATTGAGAGTTATAAGGAATTCACACACATGATGGCTTTCATATTAGTAATAACCTCAGAAAGAATTTATATCAAATTCGTCATAAAGATGTACTTATTCAAATTCTTGTTTATAAGTCACATTCTACTTTTATTGTTCAAAAGTTTTGTGGCAAAATTAATAAATTATTACAAATTATTTAGTGATATTTTTATTAATTTCATGTATTAATTTCAAATTTTTCCAGTTTTAATTATTTAACTTTTAAACTTGTATTATATTCAAGTTTATAAACTTTTTAAATATGAATATAATTTAATTCTGCATCAATTTTCTTTAAAACGGTTTCCATACATTCTGCCTTGAATATAGTAAAAAAATAAAACTGTCTAAAATTTTATTTAAAATATTTTTCATATAAATAAATAATCTAAAATGCCTGATTTGTTGATGTATCTAGATCAGAAGTGGGCAACCCACAGCCTGCATTAATATTTTGTGCAGTCCGTGTCACACAAAATATTAATAAATATATCGACTTCCCAACTTAAGAAAGTATGCAATAAAAATTCTATTGTTATTTTCTACACCTTCGTAAAAATGTAGTAAAAGGTAAAACAAGAAATTAGCTAATAGACTCACATCAAAGCTAATTTAAAACTTCCAGTGACTAATATTCAATGAAACATTCCAGATTTATTACATTCATGTCAGTGACAGAAGTCAAATTAATTATATTTATGTTAATTTATACTCATATGTGAATAAATAATTGTGATTTACCACATTTTTTTTCTTTTTTCTTGTGTGTAGCCCAAGTCAATTCAAAAGTTTTAAATGTGGCCCATACATAGAAAAAGATTGCCATCCCTAATCTAGATCAGAAAATTGTGAATGTAATTTCTAATCTCAAACTTCTCAAACTTGTAAAACTTGCATGAATCTAAGTTATACTGTATCAAATGTCTTTTGTGAGATTACATATTCTACTGTTATAAATATTTGATAATATTTTATATTGAAATTTTCAAATTTTGTATTAACTGTAAATGTATACATTCAATGAATAGAAAATATTTTAAAGTCTTTTTTGTTTAATTTATTTGAAAATTTTTCTAATAATCTCTAACTACTTTGTTAATTTATGCAAAATATATTAGTTCAATATACTATTTCAATAAATTGATTAATATGATCTTTCATTTAGATACTAAAATTAAGCTTCAAAATCAACTAAAGATGCTAATAAAGTATCTAAGCAGAACTGCTTTTTTCAAATAAAGTTTAATATAATATCATAGTTAATGTAAATTAATTTATTGATAGAGTACAGTGGTTAACTCAAATCAGTTAGGGGAGAAAAAAAAATTCAGATTTTGAGTTAAAAGTTTTTAGTTATAGAGGATTAGCTAAAAATCAAGATTTTTGCATCAGTTTATCAGTGACTCATAATAAACCATCCACACAGTATTTTCACTGGTCTTATTACATAGAATCATTGTGTCAACATAAAGCTCTCAGTGTTGTACAAAAACTCAAAAATGCTTAACTGAATGGTTAAATAAGCTACCATCCAGAAAATGCTTTCCCAAATGGTTGATCTGTTCATTCCTAAGTAGGAATTTTTTTAAATTGTGATATTTTTCACCTAGAATCAATCTATTTTTTTTTATCACAAACATACAACTCTTTATGATTGTTTTATTTTTAAATTTTTACACAATCAGACGATAATCATTTTTTAAAAATTAATTTATCAAAAAATGAATTTATTTATTACATCAGCTAAGTTAATCAGAGAAATTCATCAGCAATAAAATAAAAAACTTAAAAAACAAGAAAAGTTTGAAAAAAACAAGTTTGAATGGCAGTTATAGTATCTAGGTCAAACACACTCTCTGGAAGCAACCATTCCATCTGCCAAAACACAATGTTTTGTTTTTAGTTGTAAGTGATCCCAATGCTTTATAGAAAGTTTCTGATTAGTTTATTCAATAATTGACATTAATTATTTTATTTAATGAAAAACTAGAATTCTGGAGAGTTTATGAAAATACAATATCAAAATCCCATTCGAGTTAACCAGTTTGAATTTAAATGTAAATTCCTATATTAGACATCAGAAAATGAAAATGACTTTGAGTTATCCCAGTTCAAGTAACCATGTTCCAGTATATATTAAAGTGAATCTCCACAACACAAATGGAAAAACTACTTCAGTGTTTTTTAAAGATAATTATTTTTCAGATCTTCAGAATTATGTCATTGTATGAGATTATATTAATCAAATATGTAACTAATTAATATTTGTTTAAATACTAATACAAATTCATGTATAGTGTGTTTTATAATAAATAGTATAAATTAAAATAAACATGAATTTGCAAGTAGAAACTATTCTGAATATGTTTTCTTTTTCGGTTAAGTATTATATTTGTATTAAAATATTTAGTCAGTTACGATGATTCTGTAGAATATTTTAAAGTATTATATAGATACTATAGCACATGATAATGATATTAAAATACCTTAAATACATCAGAATAATTATTAACTGGAGAAAATTTATCTTTATATGAAATTGTTATTATAGTGTGTGATCACCACAAAATTGAATAAGTTTGTAAAATCTTTATACAATACTTTTTATAAAAATGATGTATAATATTAATAAAGATAAAAATAATTTGCTATATTTTTTAGTAGTTAACAAGAACAAAACATGACCAAAATATTTGAACATGAAACTAGACACCACCAAAAAAAGAAAAAAATGCATTTTACTTTATCAGTGGCGTGCCGTGACATTTGATGATAGGGAAGCTGTGTTTCTGTAAGAAGCTGACATCCAGGGGCAATCAATCAATTGCGCGTCAGTGATGGTCTAGGGTCCATTCGTATCGTTTATTCGATAAACCAGTAAAAACCGTAGACTTTTCTAAATATATTTTTAATATCGCAATTACATTCTGAATTGCTAGCCACGATATAAGGGCTACAATTAAAAATAAAATAATAAAAACTTACTTGGTAAAATAAAATGTGTGGTGGATATACCGATACATACCTGGTACAAAATATTCTTCAATTGTATGAACATACTTTTAAAGAAAATTATAATTAAATATAGCTTTGTAAAGAAACATACATAAAAATATAAAATACTCTTTACTTTTTAAATCTTAAAACAATGCACTTAGTCAAATAGCTCCCTACAAGTGGCTAATGGATGGAATCGAAGACAGTTGCAGAGCACGCATACACACAGACTGCCAAATCCCTAGGGTGCAGATACCGGTCAATGTCAAATACCTCTTTTGTCGCATCACTATTATATCTCACAGGACGCGACAGGGCTGTTGTAAATTTTAAACGTTTCTCACCATAGCTGTAAAAGTCTAAATGTTAAACTTAATAGATTGTCCGTCTTTTGTTTTCTAACTAATTCGTTTTAGGACCAGTTGTTGTCCACGGAAATTTCCAAAATTTACAACTTTTCGGTCACTCTCGTCGAACTGAAAAAATTTCTGTCTTTATTACATCTAATACAGTATTTCAAAGAAATCGGTCCCCACTGTACGCAGCTATAGATTGGTTCGGTTAAGCTTTTGTTTAAGTAATATTCCGCTCTTTCATCAGGGTTTTGTTTATGTCCCCAATTCCCTAATCGCTTAATTATTTAACTACTTCTTAAGTAGAAATAAGTCGAAACCAGTTACTTTGTACTCGAATATTTGTAGTCTCGGGAAAAAAGTGGAAAGACAAATTTTTATGACAAACGGATACATAAATCGTAAATTTAAGGAAAATAAATTCTAGAGCTTTTTCTGTACCTCGTGCATCTCTCTCATTCATTAAATTTAGTTGTAAATGATGCTGTCAAAGTAACAGTTAACTTTTTAACATTATACAAGAATTGTACACGTTTTTTTCCTACATCCCCTTAAAGATGGGATGTACAAAATCGTAATATCACTGTTTTAACATTGAAATCCATGAGTAATATAAGATTGGAGAGCAGAATAAAAATATCAAATATTTTAATGGATTTTTTAAACTCCTATCAACTATACAGAACTATCATAAAAACATACCAGTAAATTCTTATTGGTTGGGTTAAGTTATAAATCTACTCATGATTCACATAATCAGGCAAAGGCGGCCAAATATCTAGCGGGTGGGCGGCTAACAGCCCAGAACCGGTCCTGGATAGAATTGGATGCGATATATGTGTAGCATCCACCCAAGGTTCTAGGCTTCCACTAGCTAAACCATGTGAGGTTGGTGCTCTGTAAAGTGCGTGCATGAATCTGGCTTTTTGGATGCTGACAATACAGCGCTTCCACTCTGCTACTAATATTCAAATATACAATAGCAATCTTATCTTTTTTTTTCACGTGTAGTATAGAAATTTGTAATAAGATACATAATGCAGTTATAATAAAATATTTTGCGATTATTTTCATATAATTAAAATTAATATGTATTTATTTTTTAGAAACTACAAGGAAAGCAGCGCATCCACCGCTTCCAATGACAGCACGCCACTGTATGCTATTATTATTAAAACTATATTTTTATATTTTACATAAATTATATCAATTATATAAACTGCAAATTATGTATAGTACCATAGTAATATACAAAATTCATTCTTACAATGAAAATAAAAAAACTGTTATTAATTACTAAAATATAATTTACATAGAAAAAATACATAACAATTACAAGAAAAAACTTGTACAAAATAAATCACTGATTATGAAGAACATAATTCACATTTATTTCTAATCATATATAATTCATTTTAATATATCTGGTTGACTTTTAAGAAAATTATAAAGTTTGTTTTTTTCCATTTTTTACTCTCAGTCTTGTCAGCATTAAGAATTCCTTTTTAAAAATATCCATTATGGGTTCAGCAAGACCCATAAATGGGCGTACCCAGATAGTGAGAAACAAAGTCCAACAAACCCAGGACAGAACTGCCCATGAAAAATTTCACGAGACTTTTTGCCAACCCAGATTCAATTCCAGGTTCTCCACAGCAGCAGGCTAAAGTGTTTGCTGCCTCAACCACCCAACTATCAACTTATAAAGTTTTAAACAATCTATTTCTATATTAACTTTTGTGGGTACCAATAGTTTTAATATTGCTATTGATAACTTGATAACTGTTTATTTTTTTCTAGAACCCATATTCTATTAATGGGTAAAAAACTCTTTCAGCCAATGCCTTCTTTGCAAGTATAACTTATTTAAATAATGAGTTCTACTATTTTTCTGTTATTGTTTTTAAAATAATTGAAGAATTACACAAATAATAGTTTTATTTATTTACATCAATAATAGTTTTATTTATTTATTTTAGATTCCATTCATTTAACTTTTCATTAGTAACATATTCATTTAAGTGAATTCAGAAAATAACTTATCATTTATAACAGAAATTAATTTTTATAGCATACATTACAGTATCTTCAGCCTTCATCACTCACTTTTTGAGTTCTACGGAATCATTTATATTATAAAACCTAGAAGAAACAGCTTAATACTTTTGTATCATTTTTTAAAAATAAGCTTTACAGAAGTTTCCTATTTGTCAAAAATATAACAAATTCTTAATCCTAAAAGCATTTGTGAAAACCGGGACATATCAAATACTCTAAAATGAAACATCGTCATCCCACATGCTCTTTATTAGCAATCTACATATTTTTTGACAGTATGCTAGTATAAATATTGACTTATATATCAAAGACAAGTTTGTTACATAAGAACATATAAATTATAATTATTAAATAATAATAGTATGAGCATTCTTTATTCTAAACTGCTATATTGCACTAATCAACAATTCAATAATTTTAAAATGATTTTAAATATAATCCACAAAAATCTTTATATAACAGTGTTGTGTCCATTACAATATGCACTACCATTTTTGACCTCCACTGAGGTCTTCTTCAGGTGCTGACTAAGTGGTGNTAAAAGTTTGTTTAATTTAAAAATAATATGTATTATGTAATATGCATATGTATATATGATTTTCAAGCATAGGTGCAGAATGGTGCAATCTTATTGTTCAGATAAACAGGAATTGATGTTTTTCAACAGAAAATATAAGTAATCATTGACTTCTGCATTTGTGAGAAGATAATTCAAGATATACAAATTTTTTCTAATGTAATCCTAATATACCACTCACAACCAAATGTGAAATGGTACTTCGCCAACCAATCAAATTTTGCAAAAAAGGGACGAAAAATTTTAAACTCAACACCTTTGGAAAAACTCTAAAAACATATTTTGTGCTTGTTGGTGACTTTGTATCAAGTAATTTTTCAATTTGAATGACACTATCCTGCAGCGTAGTTGAAATTAATTCAATACATCACCAAACAATCGCCTAAATATCGGGCTATAATATGGCTAATTAAATGATTGGTATAAAGTAATTTGACATTAGAGGTAGATGTTAGGCACCATCTCTTAAGTAAATTAATAATTATAATTAAATAAATTTAGAACCTTCTGGAATAAAAGAACTGGCCCAGGACGGGGCTTGAACCCGCAACCTCCGCTTGCCGTGCAGTGTGCTTGTCAGTTACGCCACCCGGACCCCGAGCGAGTCTTTGCTTCCAGAAGTATATTAGATTAGATATAATGTATGTAACTTAAGAGATGGCACCTAACGTATACCTGTAATGTCAAATTACTTTATACCAATCATTTAATTAGCCATATTATAGCCCGATATTTAGGCGATCGTTTGGTGATGTATTGTATACCACTCGGGCATTGAATTGTTATTATTTATGAAATTAATTCACCAAAAGTAGTCTTGACCTCTCCCTGGATGAGAGGATGAATCCTAAAAGTTTCACTACATTTGTCCAAACTATGTCAAAATGTATAAAGAATAAACTTTCTTCTTCATATATTAGATTATAACAAAAGAATAAAATAAATGCTAGTAGGACAATTAGCAATCTAGCATGAAATATTTTTATTAGATTAGTGTTTTAAATATTTTTCGAATTTAAATAAAAGCAGATAAGATAAAGCCTAAAATAAGTGATATGGATGGATACTACAAGAAATGAATGATAACTTCAAATATTTAATAAAATCAATGACTTTTGGATATGCAGCGATTAAATACTCAAAATCATTGAATTTTTATTTATTATCGCCCTACTCAATAAAATTGTATTTTGTTAAGACTTAAGTTAAAANTGGAAAAGGGGGATACCTAGATCGGCAAAATACACGAATTTCTTCCTACAACTTTGGTTGTTGTTCGGGGTACAGTTAAGGTTTTAACGAAGTTCGAGCGAATATATAATTAGCAATAAAAAGTTGAAATAAAGTGATTAAACAAAAATTATTACAAATATCGTAAATAATAGTTGACAAATGCATATATAAAGATGTTTCTTGAACGGGGGAAATGGTCTTCACAATTTGAAATCAATCGAACACACAGTGCTCGAATGTTCGTATAAACGCACGCCATCTATCATAGGATAAATGTCCTATGCCAGAAACCTTCGCGGGAGTGTATTAAAAAACTTCCCAAAGTTTCATGGAAATCGGATAAACGATGTGGTAATGCATGAAGGACATAAGACAGACACACAGACAGACATACATTCATTTTTATATATATAGATTAATGTTTTCAATCTTAAACAGATCATCTTCAGGTCCAAATACAAGTCTGAAGAAGATCTGTTTAACATTGAAAATGTTAGTTGCTAATAAAAATTTTTACAACTGGAGATACAAAGGTTTTGTGGACATTTTTTTTATTAAACTTATCACTTAAAAACTTGATTAATGAAGCTGGCCATTTAAATTTTTAAAACAATGGTAGAATAACACAAAAAAAATTAAAATACTGAAACTTACAAGTGTAGGTAATATATTAGAGAATTTATATCGACATTTACAAAAGTTTCTAGTCATCCAGTAAGCATCTTCTTTAGATGAACACATTTTTGTAAAAGCAGAAGCAATTGCAATAATATTTTTAGTTTCTTCTTCTTGAAACTATAAAAAGCATTTAAAAATTAGAATAAATTAAATAAACCATAAAAATTAACAAGTATTAGGCTATACAAATGAAGAGTCTTCTTTGTCCTTGTTCACACCTCAGGAAAATAACAGTCTTAAGCAAAATTGGAGGCTATTTTATTGGAGACTACTTTGGGTACCTCGTTATGCAAAACATTAAAAAAATAATAAAATAAAATATGGCAATTTTTATCAAATGTATTTATATTTTTTAATTTTACCATCACTGAAAGTAAGTTTTTTTCTTTTTTTATGTTTTGCATAATGAAGCCTCCAATAAAAGATCAACTCTGTCATAAGATTTATTATTTTCCTGAGGTGTAGACAAGGACAAAAAAAACTTCATTTGTATAGTCTAATATTTGTTAATTTTAACAATTATTTGTCCTGTCAATTTTTATTAAATAAATTATATTTGCATATAATATAATCTATATAACATTATATATAAAAAATTTGACATCATAGGTAAAATTATTTAACTTATTAAATTTATTCTCCCAATTCATTTCTTCATTCCATAGCTGTCTGGATCTCGCAGAAAATTATTTACTATAGTTTTTGAAGAATTGAGTTTCTTAGCAATTTTTACTCCATGTCAATCAAGAGTTTTTAAAGACCAAAATTTGTCTTAGCTCAATATTTGTTAAGTGACTTTATTTTGGCATTGTTAACAAGTGGTTTTAAGTATAACTAATACTTAAAATGTAAACAATGTGGAAAAGTTGAAATTTTCATAAAGGCACATCATATTAAAACATACACAATCTTATATTTTTCTCCAAATAGTAGCAATGTAAATTTAACAAAATCTATTTTATTTAAAAATAAAATTAAACAAGAAACTGTATAAAAGTGTAAAATGTATAATATAAATTAAAAGCAGGTAATCATTGGTTTTATTTTTAAATTATTGTACACTGTTGCCAACCTTATAATTTTTCCATCACCTTATCAAATAGTGATTATAAATTTACTCTTAAATAAAAATAAATATAGAATATTATTATAATTTACCTGTCTTTCTTCATTTAATACAAGTCTTCCTTGTTCCAACAACAACATATATGTCAATACAATTGCTGGTGCTGTATCATCATTTATTTTCTGCATTAAACGTAATGAATGTTCTAAATATTTACACTGTTCTTTTTGCTCATAACTTACAAGTTTATGACTATCTGAATTCCTTGACAGAATGCCTTTAAAAAAGTTTTTAATTTTTTAAATTATAAGGTATAATAATGAAAAGAAAGAAAATATCAAAAATATACTTATGATCTAAATAATATAATGATAATGTGAAANACTGCGCATTGAAAATTATATTTATTACAAAATAGCCAGTTGACCAAATAAGCAAATATACTTTGATACATCTTATTATTCTTAATCTGTAATGGAATTTTCATAAAATGTTATCATTATTATCCTAGAGTTCTGAGATAATAACACAAAATATTTTCCCTAATTCCTCAGAATTCAAATTAACTATATAATGACAAATTATAAATACTAATGGTTAAAACATACAAAATTCAATATAAATAATATAAAAATCATTAAATTTGCCATCTAAAATACTACAAAAACCTTTCAGCAGAAAGGAAATTCTGTTTAATCAATGCAAACATTTTTGACAAAATTTCGAAATTTTGAATATTGTTCATTTCATCACTTTATACATTCCATTCTGTCGTATTCGATTTCCAGTTGCCCGACAACTGTTACTCAAAACAATCAAAAACACTGGCATTAATTAAACATAACAGTTAATTTCTTCACTGACATAAGGTTTTTGTGGTATATAAATTATGTCTTTTCCATAATTATATATTATAAATGATTCATATCCACAAGCTACTACTTAATTCCTTCACTTATTTAATATTTGTTTAGTAAGTAATTTATCAGTTTTAATTCTGTTTGTGTATGATTAGTGGGTCACTAGAAACTAAAACTTTAATTATGATATCATATATATAAATAAGATAAATAATTTTAAATTATAATATCAGAGATCTTTAAAATTAAATAGCCAAACAGCTTGTTATTCTAAACAAGATTAATCAAGCTGATCTGATAGCACACTCCACAAAAGCAAATCAAATATTAATTTTGTTTAAAATAAATTTTATAAATTCTTGGAATCAAGTAGTTGTTCAGAAAAATTTTTCACTGATTATACAGTAAGGGATGTGGTTTATAGACATAAACATTTAAATATTACATTCTGAACTAATGGTTTAGAACATAATATTTAAACGTTAACTCTTTCCGCCCTGTGGGCACTAAGAGGGCCTCTTTAAACAAACCAAATTATGGGTTTGGCCAGGCCCACAATTGGGTGGCCAAGTGGTGAGAGACAGGGCCCAACATATCCAAACTGACCACCACCGAAAAATTCCTGGGGATTTTTCGACCCATTGGGGTGCAAACCCAGGTCCCCAGAGCAGTAAGTGCCACCTAGACCTCTCGGCCATCTGGCCATAACACTTAGGTAATGAAAGGAAAGTAATTGCGCATGCGCATGGAAATTGGCAGACGGAACATAAGCACTTCACCACTATAGTGGAGCATGCTAAAAATTAAATTATGATTGTTTTCATTATAAAATTGTATATTACATTATGAGGCTGTAATCATATCATCTTAATATAATATAATCAATCTCTTAATATATAATATGCACTTATAAACTATTAATATCATAATAAAAACAATGATTTAATTATTAATGTTAGAAATATCCTTTTACCAAGCAATAACTTCCAAACGTATTCTCTGTACATAGAAGGCAGAGAAAACCTAAGACAAAACTGGGCCAACTTAGCCATGTCAATTGGTTTATCTCTTAATAAAATTTCTAATGACTTCTTCTCTTCTACGCCTCTGAATCCGACTTTATCGTAATAATACGATCGAAAATTACGACTGTCATCCGCCATCTTTCTAATTTTCGTCTGCTGCACTTTTAGTGCCCCCTATTAGCATTGAAATCTGAGTTTTAATATAACAACTAATTTAATCAGAAATAGAAAAACATAAATTATTAAAAATCATGAAATTAAAATGTTGATTCATACAAACTATTTCTATAATCTTCACAATCTAAATCATAAAAAGACTAGTACTAATACAATAAATTTTCATTAATTTGAAGTTTAATAATACAAATTTTTGGATAATTTGACTTTCATAGATTGTACTGTCATTCCCCCCATATACAAGTATCAATACATTACTATTACAATACTTGACGACCAGATGGCCGAGCGGTCAAGGTGGCAGCCTACCACTCTGGGGGACCCAGGATCAAATCCAAACAGGTCAAGAAATCCCCAGGAATTTTTCGGGGGTGATCTGTTCGGATATGTCGGCCCCCGTCCCTCACCATCCGGTCGCCCCATCGTGGGCCTGGCCGAAGCTATAATGGGCCTGCTATAAGAGGCCTTCTTAGTGCACACAAGATGAAAAGAGTAAAAATAAAAAAAAAAAAGTATTACAATACTTGCATTAATTCAAAATTTTAAGACCACTGGATAATTTAAACAAAAATAAATTGTACTGCGCATTGAAAATTATATTTATTACAAAATAGCCAGTTGACCAAATAAGCAAATATACTTTGATACATCTTATTATTCTTAATCTGTAATGGAATTTTCATAAAATGTTATCATTATTATCCTAGAGTTCTGAGATAATAACACAAAATATTTTCCCTAATTCCTCAGAATTCAAATTAACTATATAATGACAAATTATAAATACTAATGGTTAAAACATACAAAATTCAATATAAATAATATAAAAATCATTAAATTTGCCATCTAAAATACTACAAAAACCTTTCAGCAGAAAGGAAATTCTGTTTAATCAATGCAAACATTTTTGACAAAATTTCGAAATTTTGAATATTGTTCATTTCATCACTTTATACATTCCATTCTGTCGTATTCGATTTCCAGTTGCCCGACAACTGTTACTCAAAACAATCAAAAACACTGGCATTAATTAAACATAACAGTTAATTTCTTCACTGACATAAGGTTTTTGTGGTATATAAATTATGTCTTTTCCATAATTATATATTATAAATGATTCATATCCACAAGCTACTACTTAATTCCTTCACTTATTTAATATTTGTTTAGTAAGTAATTTATCAGTTTTAATTCTGTTTGTGTATGATTAGTGGGTCACTAGAAACTAAAACTTTAATTATGATATCATATATATAAATAAGATAAATAATTTTAAATTATAATATCAGAGATCTTTAAAATTAAATAGCCAAACAGCTTGTTATTCTAAACAAGATTAATCAAGCTGATCTGATAGCACACTCCACAAAAGCAAATCAAATATTAATTTTGTTTAAAATAAATTTTATAAATTCTTGGAATCAAGTAGTTGTTCAGAAAAATTTTTCACTGATTATACAGTAAGGGATGTGGTTTATAGACATAAACATTTAAATATTACATTCTGAACTAATGGTTTAGAACATAATATTTAAACGTTAACTCTTTCCGCCCTGTGGGCACTAAGAGGGCCTCTTTAAACAAACCAAATTATGGGTTTGGCCAGGCCCACAATTGGGTGGCCAAGTGGTGAGAGACAGGGCCCAACATATCCAAACTGACCACCACCGAAAAATTCCTGGGGATTTTTCGACCCATTGGGGTGCAAACCCAGGTCCCCAGAGCAGTAAGTGCCACCTAGACCTCTCGGCCATCTGACCATAACACTTAGGTAATGAAAGGAAAGTAATTGCGCATGCGCATGGAAATTGGCAGACGGAACATAAGCACTTCACCACTATAGTGGAGCATGCTAAAAATTAAATTATGATTGTTTTCATTATAAAATTGTATATTACATTATGAGGCTGTAATCATATCATCTTAATATAATATAATCAATCTCTTAATATATAATATGCACTTATAAACNTGGTGAGGGACGGGGCCCGACATATCCGAACGGACCACCCCCCGAAAAATGCCTGGGGATTTTTCGACTAGTTCGGATTCGAGCCCGGGTCTCACAGAGCGGTGGGCTGCCGCCTTGACCGCTCGGCCATCCGGCCTACCCCGTGGGTACTAAGAGGGCCTCTTTTAGCAAGCTTATAGTGTTTTTAATCGAAAGATCCGAGGGCTCGGACCTCATATATTTAATTACTTAATTATTTTTAAAAACTATTGATTATCTGAAATTAAGAATGTTTCATTATATTTATTTTCTTCGGCCAATTTTGCCGCTTCTAGAAATTTACCACCCTGGTCCACCTTGCCCATCCTGTATCGGCTCCTACGTATACGAAAATCTGACACGTGGGCGATTTGCCGAGAGATGTACCTCCTGGGAGGACTTTCTATGGAAAACTGGTCCCTATTTACGTGTTACAAACGTGAAAACACCTGGAAAACTCCACGTGACTAACCCATTGACGATGCGCGAATCCCTCATCAACTACTAGTTTTATCCACTCGGCCACGTGGAGACCATCTATTTAAACATGAATACATTCTGATATATCATAAAGATGCGATATAATACAAAATAGTACAGTTTTTATACATTAGAAATAACTCACAAGTTTACAAAGATGAAAGCTTTGTTTCCACCATGGCTACTATTGTAAAATTAAAAATGCTATTGTAACGTATAATTCAAGAACGAATAAAAAATTTGTTTTTTTGGAACTCTTTCTAAACCGTGGATATTGACGGGATTCTATACCAACCATATGGAAACTATATGATTCTATTGTGGGCAATGATTAATTATATATATCGTGACCCACAATAGGCAGCCCCATATCCACTGTTTGGCTGCCAAAACAACAAAAAAAAATTTGAGATTCCTACCCAAAACTTGAACAGGTTTTCCCTAGATTCTTCGGTCCCACGGTCTTCTCCATAAATAAAATGGAGAACCATAATAGTAAGACAGTTGAATGGCCAATGTAGTTAAGGCTAGTGCTGACAAAAACCAGAAATTCTTGAAATCTGTTAACCGATTTTAATTCAGTAGAATTATCGCATTTTATTAATATTAAGAAAGCACTAAAGAAAATATTAATCAATATTCACGACATGTATTATTCTCGTCAAAAAGAGGTCAGTGTTTCTTCAATATTGGTAAATGTTGTAGTCTAAGTATTTAATACATATAGCATTTGAAAACTTTTAAACATGGCGTCATCAGTGCCGTAACTAGGGCGGTGCCAGCGGTGCCCAGGCACAGGGCGCAGAAATGATCTGGACCAAGTTTTGTGTCATAGTTTTAGGGCGTAGTTACAGAAGCTCGCACCAGGCACATAAAAGGCTAGTTACGCCCCCACACCGGTGTGACGTGGCTTTTTAATCTTTATTATATACGCGTCAGATTCTGAAATTATAATAAAAAAAATTCAAAATTCTTCATTAAATTCCCGCTTTTTTAACGCGTAACAAACGAATTCAACAATTGATGTTGTTGTTGTTGCGTAGTTTTGCTCTTGGACGAAGAGTGCGATTTGGAAAGCGATTCGAAGATGTTTTTTGATGGTAGAGAGTATCGACCCCTGCCCCATCCTCCTGGGTAAGAGATTTTTTACATTTCATTACTATTTATTGAATAAGAAATTAATTTTAGCAATTAAAGGCTTTAAAGAAAAACTTTCATCTACAATATATAATTAGGCCTAATTAGATTAAATGTAAAGATTGAGACTTTACAATTTTTGTGTCTTCCTGTGTTGCTGTATTGCAATAGAGGGCTTTATAAGGCACAGTTAGGGGCCTGGTGTTAAGAAGATAATTTAGGGCTTTTCAATTTACTGTTGTTTAAACGAGTAATCGGGCCTCTTTTATATCACGGATTAGGTCGTTAATATGACGAAATTTACTAAAATTTTAAACCCAACTTCGTTTCAATATGTCAATTATAATATTCAATATGGCTTTTTTTAAAATAACAGAAAAATATTTAGACTAGTCGATTTATAAAAGGCCATTTCCTTCTGTCGAATAAACTTAAAAGCACGGGGATCTAATGTAGTTTGAGAGTAGAATTAAATAGTTATTGTATTGTGAATTTTCTCTTTGCATATTTAGGGAGGGATTGGATGTGGATGTGCGAAGATTCGTCAGTCCACAAAATTTGGATTATGTTAAGTTTCGAGGCAGAAAGTTGAAGAAAGGCCTCTCGAAGCAGTACGAACCCTCGACCGGTGCTTTCGAAGGTTTGGACGTTTTTGAAAATAACATCAAGCCTGCTTATAGAAAAGCTGTGATGAAGGTTCGACCAATCTGTCAGACGGCCTGCCAACGTTTTAACAGGTAAATTACATTACTGTTTGTATGTAATAAACTTGTGTATATTATATGTACGAGCTGTTTAACGAGGGGTTATTCTGAGAAATACGAGGAATCATCGTTTTAATTTTTCGATAAATAGTAATAAGTTTAATAGTTTCTTGCCCTGATGGGAAATTAAAGAAAATGTTTTCCAAGTGTTACCATTTATAAATATTCATCGTAATTCAATTCCAAAATTATATATTTATTGTATTTCTTTCCTTGTTTAGTGAGAGATTGGTCGAAGATGTGGAGGATGAAGGAGTGAACAATAGAGAGAGCGTGATTCCTCCACGAAGCACCAAAGAGAACGAAGACCCGGCAGAGCACGAAGATTGCGTGCAAGATAATCCTGGCCATTCCAGGGATAGAAATACATTGAAGAAAGTCGGGTCGTTCTTTAAGAGCATGTGGAAACCCGTTAAGAGGTAAGATTTTGTACGATTTAGCCTCTGAAATTGGCAATAAATCGAGTGTGGCGCTAAGCCCAAGTATCGATTACGCCAAAAATTTTTATAGCATTAAGATTTGAGTTGGAAATGTTTGCGAATCGCATAACTTTCCCGTATTGTTCGGCGCTGTATCGGCCTATTCGTCCGTGTCATTACTGATTGGATGAAAAGTTGAATTCAAAACGTCACCGAACCAATGAATTAGTAGAAAATTTCATAATCCAACTTTCGTTCTTTGTAGGCCAACATTTACAGCCCATCGATACAGCGCCGCAATATGTTTTAATGGAATTCAAATGGAGTTATACGTTTTCCATGAATAATTATACTTCTTTTTCTACATTTAGATCCGTGCAGAAGGTGTGTAAAATGGCCAGAAGTGGAGAATGCGAGTACGTTCGGTTCGAGTAAGGATCTCTTTGCTTCCATCTGTCAAATTCGACAATAAGATCTGCTCTGTGATTTGCTGGATCTGGGCCGAGTTGGCTAATTGTAAGTGTGTATGGCAACTTTATTGTATTCTACACCAAACACTTGGGAGATTTTACGGTCTGGGTTTATAAATTGACACAATATCTAACCGCGATTTCATAATAACCCGCAATTAATGGCCGGACAACAGAAAAAATGGAAATATTTATGTACGGTATTAGCGTGGAAATGTATTATATTTTGATGCGATCGATTTCGATGCGATTACAGAAAAGCCACGTTTTTAGGGTATCGGGCATACATAGCCTGTATATTCCTGTCCAAGTACTCACAATAATACATCCTGGGTATAAGTTGCTGGTCTCTTGACACAGCGAAAGCAATGGTATAAATGAACGTAGAAATTAAATTATCCAGTAATCTTACGTGATTACGCGGACGGGAACATGTTAAAATAATGGAATTGACAATGACATATTTGATACATACATGACACGTGGCAGTATGCAATTAATTGCGATAAGCAATATCATTTGGCACGTAACTTTATTTCCATTTTAGAAGGAAATAATATTCTTAATTTTGTTTTCATTTAAAAATATTCAAAAAATAACAAAAAGAAATGATAAAGTTTAAAAGTTAATAAATAAAATCTAAACAGCTCCTAAAAATTGCAAAAATAATTTTCAATTTATAAGTAAAAATTAAAATATTGGTTTTTCATTTACTTTTAGATATGGTTTTTTTCTGAAAATCATCGATGACTTGAATCTTTCTGCTGATTTTGACATCCCGATTGCGTCAATACCAATTTCGATTATGACTTCCCAATTTTGACTTTGTCCCTGCTGTGTCTCATTATTATTGTCTTTTAGTGAATTATCATTTTTCCAAATTGGTCTACACGAATTTGGACTCTCGATTTCTGTCTACCTCACGAATTTGGACTCTCCTGAATTACGTCTACCTCGAATTTGACTCCTGAATCGCGTCTACACTCGAATTTGGATTCTTCCGGCTTTTGTTTGTGCTTAAATTTCATTTTCAATTCGTGTCATCCCTGGAACTTGGACTCTCCGGAATTGTGTTTTTACTGGAATTCGAATTTTCTCAAATTGTGTCCATTGTTTGTGACGTCGTCTAAATTGAATGAAAGTCCGATAAACGTGAAAAACACGAAAAGACAAAGTTTTGATACACAAAACAGAAGAAATCTTTCCTAAATTCTTTGCGAAGAACGAAAGTTTGCAGATAAAAATTGCGTTAAACGAAACGCTTTACGAAACTGTAAGTGGAATTACATTACATTAATAGGAAATTACAAACTTGAATAAATGTCGTTAAGTATTGTTTGTCGCTTTCAGGATGGTGAAGTTTTATGATGAAAATGCATTTGGAGAAGTCAAAAAACCTGAGACAGTTGCGGAATAATTTGATTCAATTAAAGTCATAGAAGAAGACATTCTCTGCAATACATTGGTTTTGGTTCTGTTCTAGAACTTGTAAATTTTCGTACGAAAATAGTTTGTTGAATGATATAAATGTAATTATAAAGAATTGTCTCTGTAATAAAGCCTTTGATTTGATTTGGCATCAAATTATTTCCATGTCACATAAAATTATTACCTTTTAAATTGTTCCAAACTGTTTTCAACCGGATATTACGGTAATAAACCAAGATATAACTCTTCGACTTAACCATTGATTTACATCACGCTATAGAAGAAACCACTGAATTGATGGCACTGCATCTGCTAATGTGTACTGTACATATCGTCCACTTTTAATTGGAATCAATGGAAACGTTTGGCTTTGTTCGGTGCTGCCGTTAGAGCCGGGCAACAGGCCCAGTGCCTAAAGGTCCTTCAGGAGTTTAGTTTTTGATTTTTTAAGCTTTTCGCGGTAATATGACGTAGTGCTCCACAGGAAATGCATTAAACCATAGTAGCTTCCTTGTATCACGTTTAGGCATTTATAGCGTAAAAAAATTCTTGTATTCAAAGATTTCGGATGGAGAAAATGAGAACGTCTATTTGATTACGAAGAAACGGATACGCGTACAAATAATCCCGAAACAAAGTTCCATAGGAATTATTGTTTTTAGTAACAATATATCAAGGAATAATCTGCATTTTTTGAAAAGCAAAGTGCCATTTTTGGTTGCCTTCGCAACATTTCTATATTAATTAATTAAAGACGAGGACAACCTTATGAATTACTTATGGATTTAGATTTAGCATCGAAGAACCAATGTAATCTGGATATAAAGGTGACGATTTATACGACGAAATTGAAATATTTCGTGTCTACGCTACGTTGATATAGGCTAACCAATGAGATTCTATTACAGTGTTTGAATACGCTGTGCAAACGGCAGGTTCCTTCCCGAATTTATTGTCCATACAACACAAATATGCGAAACATTAGATTTTGACGACGTAGTTGAGAATTTGGCACTGGCTCCGTTAATCAAAAACAGGAGCAACTGGAATAACAGGGCTAACGAGAAGTGTATCTTAGACAATGTGATTATTGCTTTAAAATGAGTGCACCTGACTTTGCTTGCAATAACAAAATTAACGTATGTTTATAGTTATAAATTCAAACACTTTTGGTAAGAAAGATTTGCCACAACTTCACAAATGTTCAGCTGATTTTGTATTGAATTAAGCATATAAAAACTTGGAGGAAACTAACGAATTTTAGCACGACTTTCATGGTGACATTAAGCATCATTTAATTAATATTGAAGTTGCCGACTAAATAGTTATTCGGCGGGTGTGATTCATCAGATCCACGTTACAATGCACGCTTTGTTTTATAATTATGTATATAGAATCATTTCTAGAAATTGCCATAAAATAATCATCTCTCCCGATATTACGGTATAAATATCAAGTTCTTGTTGTATTTGCTCCAAGTGTTTGCTTTAATTTCGTTTTATATTCCCGTGTACGGTCTTGGTTAACGCAAAATGTTTATATTTACATGTTTGTATTTCGTGCTGCGATCACGTCAGCATTTGTCGAACCGTCCCTATTCTAACCCCTATCCGCACACCGGTGTGACGTGGCTTTTTAATCGTTATTATACACGCGTCAGATTCTGAAATTATAGTAGAAAAAAATCCAAAATTGTTCATTAAATTCTTTTTTTTTTCTTTGGTTTAACGCGTAACAAACGAATTCAACAATTGAAGTTGCTGTTGTTGCGTAGTTTTGCTCTTGTTAATAGGAAGAGTGCGATTTGGAAAGCGATTCGATGATGTTTTTTGATGGTGGAGACTATCGACCCCTGCCCCATCCTTCGGGGTAAGAGATTTTTTTACATTTCATTACTATTTATTCGGATAAAAAATTCGTTTTACCAATTAAAGGCTTTAAAGAAAAACTTACATCTACAATATATAATTAGGCCTAATTAGATTAAATGTAAAGATTGTGACTTTACGATTTTTGTGTCTTCCTGTATTGCTGTCCGCAACAGAGGCACAGTTCAGGGCCTGGTGTTAAGAAGATAATTTAGGGCTTTTCAATTTACTGTTGTTTAAACGCCTCTTTTATATCATTGATTAGATCTAACTCTGGTACTGAAGGGTCGTTAATATGACGAAATTTACTAAAATTTTAAACAGAACTTCGTTTAATAAATATATTTAATATGTCTTTTTTGAAAATAACAGAAAAAGATTTAGACTAGTCGATTTATAAAAGGCCCTTCCCCTTGTCGAATAAACTTAAAAGCACGGAAATCTAATGTAGTTTGAGAGTATAATTAAATAGTTATTGTGTTGTAAATTTTCTCTTTGCATATTTAGGGAGGGATTGGATGTGGACGTGCGAAGATTCGTCAGTCCACACAATTTGGATGATTTTAAATTTCGAGGCAGCAAGATGAAGAAAGGCCTCTCGAAGCAGTTCGAACCCTCGACCGGTGCTTTCGAAGGTTTGGGCGTGTTTGAAAATAACATCAAGCCGGCTTATAGACAAGCTGTGATGAAGGTTCGACCAATCTGTCAGACGGCCTGCCAACGTTTTAACAGGTAAATTACATTACTGTTTGTATGTAATAAACTTGTGTATATTATATGTACGAGCTGTTTAACGAGGGGTTATTCTGAGAAATACGAGGAATCATCGTTTTAATTTTTCGATAAATAGTAATAAGTTTAATAGTTTCTTGCCCTGATGGGAAATTAAAGAAAATGTTTTCCAAGTGTTACCATTTATAAATATTCATCGTAATTCAATTCCAAAATTATATATTTATTGTATTTCTTTCCTTGTTTAGTGAGAGATTGGTCGAAGATGTGGAGGATGAAGGAGTGAACAATAGAGAGAGCGTGATTCCTCCACGAAGCACCAAAGAGAACGAAGACCCGGCAGAGCACGAAGATTGCGTGCAAGATAATCCTGGCCATTCCAGGGATAGAAATACATTGAAGAAAGTCGGGTCGTTCTTTAAGAGCATGTGGAAACCCGTTAAGAGGTAAGATTTTGTACGATTTAGCCTCTGAAATTGGCAATAAATCGAGTGTGGCGCTAAGCCCAAGTATCGATTACGCCAAAAATTTTTATAGCATTAAGATTTGAGTTGGAAATGTTTGCGAATCGCATAACTTTCCCGTATTGTTCGGCGCTGTATCGGCCTATTCGTCCGTGTCATTACTGATTGGATGAAAAGTTGAATTCAAAACGTCACCGAACCAATGAATTAGTAGAAAATTTCATAATCCAACTTTCGTTCTTTGTAGGCCAACATTTACAGCCCATCGATACAGCGCCGCAATATGTTTTAATGGAATTCAAATGGAGTTATACGTTTTCCATGAATAATTATACTTCTTTTTCTACATTTAGATCCGTGCAGAAGGTGTGTAAAATGGCCAGAAGTGGAGAATGCGAGTACGTTCGGTTCGAGTAAGGATCTCTTTGCTTCCATCTGTCAAATTCGACAATAAGATCTGCTCTGTGATTTGCTGGATCTGGGCCGAGTTGGCTAATTGTAAGTGTGTATGGCAACTTTATTGTATTCTACACCAAACACTTGGGAGATTTTACGGTCTGGGTTTATAAATTGACACAATATCTAACCGCGATTTCATAATAACCCGCAATTAATGGCCGGACAACAGAAAAAATGGAAATATTTATGTACGGTATTAGCGTGGAAATGTATTATATTTTGATGCGATCGATTTCGATGCGATTACAGAAAAGCCACGTTTTTAGGGTATCGGGCATACATAGCCTGTATATTCCTGTCCAAGTACTCACAATAATACATCCTGGCTATAAGTTGCTGGTCTCTTGACACAGCGAAAGCAATGGTATAAATGAACGTAGAAATTAAATTATCCAGTAATCTTACGTGATTACGCGGACGGGAACATGTTAAAATAATGGAATTGACAATGACATATTTGATACATACATGACACGTGGCAGTATGCAATTAATTGCGGTAAGCAATATCATTTGGCACGTAACTTTATTTCCATTTTAGAAGGAAATAATATTCTTAATTTTGTTTTCATTTAAAAATATTCAAAAAATAACAAAAAGAAATGATAAAGTTTAAAAATTAATAAATAAAATCTAAAAAGCTCCTAAAAATTGCAAAAATAATTTTCAATTTATAAGTAAAAATTAAAATATTGGTTTTTCATTCACTTTTAGATATGGTTTTTTTTGCAAACCATCGATGACTTCTCCTGATTTTGACATCCCGATTGCGTCAATGCCAAGTTCGATTATGACTTCCCAATTTTGACTTTATCCCGGCTGTGTCTCCTTATTATTGTCTTTTAGTCAATTATCATTTACCCGAATTGGTCTACACGAATTTGGACTCTCGATTTATGTCTACTTCACGAATCTGGACTTTCCCGAATTACGTCTACCCCGAATTTGACTCCTCAATTGTGCCTGTACTCGAATTGGACTCTCCCGAATTATGTCAACCCCGGATTTGACTCATGAATGGTGTCTGCACTCGAATATGGACTCTCCCGAATTACGTCTACCCCTAATTTGATTCATGAATGGTGTCTAAACTCGAATTTGGACTCACCCGAATTACGTCTATCTCGAATTTGACTTCAGAATCCTGTCTATATTGGAATTTGGACTCTTCCGGCTTGTGTCTGTGCTCAAATTTGACTCCCAATTTTTGTCATCCCTGGAACTTGGACTCTCCGGAATTGTGTTTTAATTTGTTATTGGAACGACACGCTCAACAAATTGATATTTGTTATTCAGACACTAGTAAAAGGATTAATTGCAAAACAAATTTTTTATACATAAAACGTTTGATAAATTAATTGATTATTAATATATTAATTAATAATTTTAATCTCAATTATAAATTGTTGTATATTTATATTTGTAAAACATTAATAGTAATTGTTACGGCCTAATTAAGGCATCCAAGCGATAGTCGAGAGCTCTCGCACACATTAAAATATGTGTTTGGACCTATATAAATGTTATTAAAAGTCTGTTTAAAAATGCCTCGATAAAGAATAAAACTTATGTAATTTGTAAAAACATAATGTTTGCAAAAATAAAACAGTTTCTGCAGATCTAATCTTTTTCTGTTCTTTTGTAAGCGCATTCCTTTTAAGAAAGGATAATTTTAGAGAAACAGTTAAAGTGGCAAAGGCACACTTGCCACTCCGAGGGTTTTATTTATTTATTTTTTCACTCGCTCCTCTGGGCACTAAGAGGGCCTCTTTATTTAGCAAGCCTGTTGCGGGTTAAGCCAGGCCACGTCAGGCGTTGATCAACGACGACCCATAAATACTCGAGGTTCGGGGGTGTTGCTAATACTGTTATTGTAAACTAGCAGATGTGCCCGGCGTTGCTCGGAAAAAAAGTAACGATAGCAAAGATTAAGGTTAGTAGATTATAGCCGATCTTACCCGTTTTCACCGAGTGCAACAATTAGGTTTCGATACTAAGTATAAAATTTTTAGCTATCTGCTTACCACACTGGGATAACGATAATTAAGGTTGGCAGCAACCACTAACCGCTAAGTGATTAATAACAAACGTTTTCGTAGCCCCTTCTGGGTTCTTTTTCAGGTATACTAAATTCGAAAAATATGCTGGATCTTCCCAAATCTTATAAATATAAAATCGAACATTAAGACGAAGAGTTCGAATAAAGCCAACTCCCCGTGTAAACTTTATATACGATGAAACGCTAAATATCGTTGAGAAGGGTCTAAAAATATGTTCGATTTCTTGCATAAATGCAGAAAAGACATTTAAAATAGAATAGTAGAAGCCTTATTCTTCACGGTGGCGAAAAAACAAGAGTAATAAAGACAAAGGAAATCGGAAATTACAACTTACGTTCGGCAGAACGTCGGAAAAAGCTGTTAGAAGTAGCAAATTTCCGGAACCCGTAGCTCTGGAAGAACACTCGATCCGGAAAAGAAGAAACGCCGTTGGAGACAGCTCGACGAAACGAATCAGAAAATGTATTTATATGTAGAAGAATAGAGAAAACTCTCGAAGAAAAACTTTGCGAAACGAACAACTGAGGTCTTGGATGACTGCTCAATCGACACTTTTGTCCTTCTGTTGTTCTTGCACTGCAAAAAACTGTTTGTGTCGATTGGAACCGAAGAACAATTTTCAGTTGCACATCAAAAGTCGAAAAGTGCAAACATTATTTCCGGACTCTCCAACATTCTTTATTTTTTCCATCATTTATAATTTACGTTTTCGGGTTGGTTCAAAAGATACGATGCAGCCATTCCTCCCTATTCAGTGTTGTTATTTTCCTAAACATATCAAAAGCAAATGGCCGAAATAAAAAATCTAACGGCAAAATTTCAGAAATTTTTAAAATTCTCAGCAGATATTAAGCTTTAAATTTCGTAAAAAATATTTTGCCCCCACAGACCATTATTGATTTTTACATCACGCTATGGGAGAAACCCCTGAATTGCTGGCACTGCATCTGCTAATGTGTGCGTATCGTCCACTTTTACATTGGAATCAATGGAAACGTTTGGCTTTGTTCGGTGCCGTCGTTAGAGTCGGGCAACGGGCCAAGTGTCTAAAGGTGGCCCGCCCTTCAGGAGTCTAGTTTTTTTTTGTTTTTAAAGTTTTCGCGGTAATGTGACGTTGTGCTCACAGGAAATGCATTAAACCACAGTAGCTTCCTTGTAACACGTTTAAGTATTTATAACGCAGAATATGGTAAAAAAAATTCTTCTTGTATTCGGATAGAGAAAACGAGAACGTTTATTTGATTACCAAGAAACGGATACGCGTACAAATAATCCCGAAACAGTTCCATAGGAACTATTGTTTTTAGCAATAATATACCAAGGAATAATCTGTACTTTTTGAAGAGCAAAGGGCCATTTTTGGTTGCCTTCGCAACATTTCTATATTAAAGACGAGGACGACCTTATGAATCATTTATGCATTTAGATTTAGCATCGAATAACGAATATAATCGGGATATAAAGGTGACGATTCATAAGACGAAATTCGAATATTTCGTGTCTACGCTACATTGATATAACTAATGAGACTCTATTACAATGTGTGAATACCTTCCCGAATGTATTGTCCATACAACACAAATATGCGAAAAATTCGATTTTGACGACGTAGTTAAGGATTTGGCACTGGCTCCCTTAATCAAAAATAGGAGCCAAATGGAATAACAGGGCTAACGAGAAGTGTATCTTAGACAATGCGATTATTGCTTTAAAACCAGTGCACCTGTCTTCGCTTGCAATAGCAAAATTAACGTATGGTTAGAGTTATAAATTCAAACACTTCCGGTGAGAAAGATTTGCCACAACTTCACAAATGCTCAGCCGATTTTCTATTAAATTAAGCGTATAAAAACTTGGAGAGAAATGAAGGAATTTTAGCACGACTTTCCTGGTGACATTAAGCATCGGTTTAATTAATATTCAAGTTGCCGACTAAATAGTTATTCGGCGGGTGTGATTCATCAAATTCACGTTACAATACACGCTTTGTTTTATAATTATGTATATGGAATCATTTCTAGAAATGGCCATTAAATAACCATCTCTCTCGATATTACGGTATAAATATCAAGTTGTTGTTGTATTTTCGCCAAGTATTTGCTTTAATTTCGTTTTATATTCCCATGTAAGGTTTTGGTTAACGCAAAATGTCTATATTTACACGTTTGTATTTCGTGCCGCCATCACGTCAGCACCACCAAGTGCATTTTTCGAACCGTCTCTATTCTAACCCCTATCCTCACACCGGTGTAATGTGGCTTTTTAATCTTTATTATACACGCGTCAGATTCTGAAATTATAATAAAAAAAGAATCCAAAATTCTTCATTAAATTCCCGCTTTTTTTAACGCGTAACAAACGAATTCAACAATTGATGCTGTCGTTGTTGCGTAGTTTTGCTCTTGGACGAAGAGTGCGATTTGGAAAGCGATTCGAAGATGTTTTTTGATGGTAGAGAGTATCGACCCCTGCCCCATCCTCCTGGGTAAGAGATTTTTTTACATTTCATTACTATTTATTCGGATAAGAAATTGGTTTTAGCAATTAAAGGCTTTAAAGAAAAACTTCCATCTACAATATATAATTAGGCCTAATTAGATTAAATGTAAAGATTGAGACTTTACGATTTTTGTGTCTTCCTGTATTGCTGTATTGCAATAGAGGGCTTTATAAGGCACAGTTCGGGGCCTGGTGTTAAGAAGATAATTTAGGGCTTTTCAATTTACTGTTGTTTAAACGAGTAATCGGGCCTCTTTTATATCACGGATTAGGTCGTTAATATGACGAAATTTACTAAAATTTTAAACCCAACTTCGTTTCAATATGTTCAATATGTCAATTATAATATTCAATATGTCTTTTTTTAAAATAACAGAAAAAGATTTAGACTAGTCGATTTATAAAAGGCCCTTTCCTTCTGTCGAATAAACTTAAAAGCACGGGGATCTAATGTAGTTTGAGAGTAGAATTAAATAGTTATTGTATTGTGAATTTTCTCTTTGCATATTTAGGGAGGGATTGGATGTGGATGTGCGAAGATTCGTCAGTCCACAAAATTTGGATTATGTTAAGTTTCGAGGCAGAAAGTTGAAGAAAGGCCTCTCGAAGCAGTACGAACCCTCGACCGGTGCTTTCGAAGGTTTGGACGTTTTTGAAAATAACATCAAGCCTGCTTATAGAAAAGCTGTGATGAAGGTTCGACCAATCTGTCAGACGGCCTGCCAACGTTTTAACAGGTAAATTACATTACTGTTTGTATGTAATAAACTTGTGTATATTATATGTACGAGCTGTTTAACGAGGGGTTATTCTGAGAAATACGAGGAATCATCGTTTTAATTTTTCGATAAATAGTAATAAGTTTAATAGTTTCTTGCCCTGATGGGAAATTAAAGAAAATGTTTTCCAAGTGTTACCATTTATAAATATTCATCGTAATTCAATTCCAAAATTATATATTTATTGTATTTCTTTCCTTGTTTAGTGAGAGATTGGTCGAAGATGTGGAGGATGAAGGAGTGAACAATAGAGAGAGCGTGATTCCTCCACGAAGCACCAAAGAGAACGAAGACCCGGCAGAGCACGAAGATTGCGTGCAAGATAATCCTGACCATTCCAAGGATAGAAATACATTGAAGAAAGTCGGGTCGTTCTTTAAGAGCATGTGGAAACCCGTTAAGAGGTAAGATTTTGTACGATTTAGCCTCTGAAATTGGCAATAAATCGAGTGTGGCGCTAAGCCCAAGTATCGATTACGCCAAAAATTTTTATAGCATTAAGATTTGAGTTGGAAATGTTTGCGAATCGCATAACTTTTCCGTATTGTTCGGCGCTGTATCGGCCTATTCGTCCGTGTCATTACTGATATAGGCTAACCAATGAGATTCTATTACAGTGTTTGAATACGCTGTGCAAACGGCAGGTTCCTTCCCGAATCTATTGTCCATACAACACAAATATGCGAAAAATTAATTTTGACGACGTAGTTGAGGATTTGGCACTGGCTCCCTTAATCAAAAATAGGAGCAAACTGGAATAACAGGGCTAACAAGAAGTGTATCTTAGACAATGCGATTATTGCTTTAAAATGAGTGCACCTGACTTTGCTTGCAATAACAAAATTAACATATGTTTATAGTTATAAATTCCAACACTTCTGGTGAGAAAGATTTGCCACAACTTCACAAATGTTCAGCTTATTTTGTATTGAATTAAGCATATAAAAACTTGGAGGAAACTAACGAATTTTAGCACGACTTTCCTGGTGACATTAAGCATCATTTAATTAATATTGAAGTTGCCGACTAAATAGTTATTCGGCGGGTGTGATTCATCAGATCCACGTTACAATGCACGCTTTGTTTTATAATTACGTATATTTTTATTTATTTATTTAACCAAACGACCCTATGACAATTGGTCTTTTTCAAGGGTCAAAAAAAAAAACTAAAAATACAGACATGTATATAAATTACAATCAACAAAACAACAACAAAAAAAAACAGAAAAGAGAGACAATAATAGTAAAATAAAAATACACACAACTAATCGCAGCTCAAAATTTTTACAGCCCGTTTAAATTGCCCGTAAGTACTCAAATCTTTGTATTCTTCTTTTGAAGCATTCCAGTTATATATAAGTTGATAAATTGGTGCATCTCGTCCAAAACAGTGCTTAACTTTTGGTAGAATCAAATTATTTTTCCATCGATAGTTGTAGTTAGAAAGCTTAAGGTATTTATTTAATTCATCACTTATATAAGATTTTTTCTTGCTCACCTTTTATTAGTTTAAAACTTTATAGAAAACTTTGTTTTTTATAAAGCTTCTATTTTATCAATTTTGATCTGGTTATAAAAAGAAGTGACAGAGGAATCATAAGGTAACTTATATAAAGCTCTTATAAAGTTATTTTGTATAACTCGCAACCTATTCAATACAAAAGAAGCTGTACCCCATATGGAAATACCATATCGAAGTTTAGGTTCCATGCAAGCGTGATATAAGCGCAAAACAGTCTCAAAATTTAAAAAACTCATTATTCTTTTCACTATTCCAATAAATCTAGATAAAGAGTGTTAAATTATTTATATGATTATTCCATCGTAAGTTATCATCAATATCGATACCTAAATATTTTACAGTATGAATACGTTCATTATTTATTCTAACTTGTATATCTTCGAAATAAACTTTTTTTTGTTTTTATTTGATAAACAAATATATTTTGTTTTATTTTCATTTACACTTAAGTTATTATTTTCCATGTACTTACTTAATTTAGATAGCAAAGAGTTTATATTATTTTCAACCAATTGAAGATTCCAATCTGCATATGTTATAACAATATCATCTGCATACAATATATTATTATTCTCGGGAATAGTCTCTACAATATCGTTTATATAAATATTAAAAAGTAGAGGGCCCAAAATGGATTCCTGTGGTACACCTTTGTTCATTCGAAAAGGTTTTGATATTGAATTTTTTACCTTAACATAGTACGTTCGATTTGATAAATAGGATATTAGCCATTCCAATGGCACTCCTCTCAATCCACTTTAAACAATTTTTGTTTTAATATTTGAACATCTACGCTATCAAAAGCCTTGGTCAGATCGATAAACACCGCCATTACAATATTTGAATTATCGAGACTGTTACTAATATATTGTTTAAGATGAGTCAAAGCATCAATTGTAGACACCTCTCTTTTAAAACCATACTGATTTCTAGATATAATTTTATATTTATTGACAAATTCAAACATGTTTTATAGAAAGCCTTTTCAATTATTTTAGTTACACTCTGAATAATAGTAATTGGACGATAGCTCTCCAAGTTCTGTTTAGATCCTTTATTTTTAAATATTGGGATTACAAGATTGTGTTTAAGCATCTCCGGAAACCTCCCACGCTCGAAGGATTTATTAATTAAATAAGATAATGGTAAAGCAATTATATCTGCTATTTTTCTTAAAATAAATATATTTAACTTATCAATGTCCGGAGTATTCGCTTTTACACTCATAATGTAATCAAAAATCTCTTTAGGAGAAGTCTCTTCCAAAACAAAAGAGTCGAGTAGCATGAAGAGGAATGTGAGAAAAAAATTATTTTTTAACGTTGCTGTGACAAAGCCTCCCACCTGTCTATAGTGTTCAGAAAATATATTACTTATTTTTTCTTCATTTTGAAAAAGTTTACCATTATGTTTCAACTGCTTAATTTCTGATCATACGCCAATATAATGTATTTCTAATAATAACTTTTCTATTCTCTTTATTATTTTCACTTCTAATAAAAAGAAAAACCCGTATATATTACTTGAACAATATACAGCACAGTATTTGAGTCTTATAAATTTACATTATAAAGGAATTTATACATATATATAGATATATCGGCTATATATATATATGATATATGAAATTATTAGACGTTCTTTTTGTCAATATTTATTAGCAAACATTGAATTTTAATTTTGTCCATAGTTTTCTTCAAATTATATTAGAAACATATGAAAAACAGAGTTTTTTTAATAACAATTTCTATTAATATAGCAGTTTGCAATCGATAGACGTATACTGATATAAAATTCTTAAAATATATATTGATGTAATGGTATTTTTATTACAAATAACGATTTTTTTTTATCTAGTCCAACAGTATTTTCAATCGTTAGGTTACACAAATTAAATTTTCTTCTATTTTAATTTAAAAAATTGATATGTAATGATATCATTTTATTTTAAAAAAATTCTATATTTATTATTTTTTCTTAAAATATTTTAATTTATATAGAAATTTAGAATGTATCTGCACCTTGATTTCTTAGAAATTTAAATAAGGAATGTTACATTTTGGCAAAATTTCCTGTTGTAAATATATTTGATATTACTGTATATTTTGTAATATTCTGTAATTTTATTCATTTTATTTTATACACGGAAATTTATTGCCCTATATTTGATAATATTCTTATACTTTATCTTTTGTTTTTTTCTGTAGTAGTTTAGACGTCATGACCTATGCCAAATTTATATAAGACAATTAACTATGATGACTATCACAGTGAGAGAGCGCGGCATGATTGAGAGATGTATTGAAAAGGAATGAAGTAGATTTTCCTCGTTACATCACGAAATTAAATGCTTTTTTCCTCTATACTGAACTTGATCGTACTCACCAAACAACTTAGAAAGCACTATCGAGTTCTACAAGTTAGAAGAATATTCTTAGAACATATGTATATAGGGTGGCTCAAAAATCAGTTAACCATTACGAAAAACGACTTTTGATTCACCTTGCANAAATCTCTTTAGGAGAAGTCTCTTCCAAAACAAAAGAATCGAGTATACCGCATGAAGAGGAATGTGAGAAAAAATTATTTTTTAACGTTGATGTGACAAAGCCTCCCATCTGTCTATAATGTTCAGCAAATATATTACTTATTTTTTTCATTTTGAAAAAATTTACCATTATGTTTCAACTGATTAACTTGTGCGTTATCCTGTGTTTTAACTACTTCGATAGGTAGACGTTTAATCTCTTGCCAAAATTCTATAGAGGAACATATATTAGAGAATTTTCTGTCAGTAATTTTCCTCTTCTTGCTTTATTTTGTTTCTAATATCCTTGGATAGCCATCTCAATTCCGTTAATATTTTAGTACGTCGATCTCCTAAAATAGAACACTTGTTTAATTGTTTAATTATTTAATTAAACAACCTCTTCTTCTGGCCAATTAACTTTATTGTATCATTTGAAATATTTGCCAAAAATACCTTTCGCTTTATCTTGGTTTTCTTATTTACTGTTATTATAGGAAAGTATTTATTAATGAAAATCTGCAGGATATCCTGAAAATAATCCGCCAATTGGTCAACAGAAAGATCTGCGGAATAATAATAATCCCAAGCAAAACAAGCTGACAGTGCATTACGTAAAAGATGTATTGATGAATTATTTATTTTTCTACGTGTTTTTAGCGATTTACCAGCCATTTCCGTATCTTCCCTTGGGAGAAAGAAAACTATAGGTGTATGATCCGACAATAAGTCCTGATGAATTAAAAATTCTGACTCACTTATATTGGTTAACCCAAAGTCAATCAAGGAGTGAGTGTCTTTATCGAATCTGGTCGGTTGCCTGCGATCAGCCAAAAGTGATAAATTTTCTGACAAACAAAAGTTTAACAAGTCACAAGTACTTACTGAAGAGTCTTTAAGTAAATCTACATTAAAATCGCCGATAATAAGTAATTTATAATTTCTTAATTTAGTAATTTTAAAATGAATTATAGAATTTACTACATCAAAAAATAAACCGTAGTTTGATGCCGGAGACCGGTAAATAACTACAATCAGAACTTTATTAATAGAAATTGTCATCACATCTATGTGCTCCTTAGTAAATGTCAAATCAGGTATTACCTCATAAACCAAATCCTTATTTATAAACAAAACTATGCCTCCATGTTGGTTTGGTTGTCTTTCAATTTTTACCATATTAAAATTATTTTAAACGGAGGGTGGGTTTCATTAGTCCATGTTTCACAAAAAGCCAGGATACCAAAGTTACAATCATAACCAGAAATAATGTGAATGATCTCCTGATATTTGTTATTTAATTAAGCATCTTACATTACTATAAAATATATAAAGTCCATCCCTTTCAAAATTAGTTATCTTATTATGCTTTAATAGAACTTCTATCATGAAATAAACCCTCAATATACTCTAACGTAAACACTCGTGAAGGTGAAAAAGTTGCATTAATCTTTATGTAAATTATACCATTTTTGGTCCAA